TGGGAGTTGATGTCCTCCGGGCTTAAAGTGGCCAAGGTTGGGGACCCGTTCTAGAAAACTGAGGAAGGCTGAAGGGATGCAGGGGTAGGTGAGAGACCCCTCTTTACACAAGAAGATAGGAACCCAAAGTATTTATGTTTTTTAAATCCCTACCTTCTGAATGGTACCATTCTTTTTTAATGTAGAAATTAAAATAACCCTCAGCGCTATTTTTTTTTTGTTCCTCCCCAGTGTGGCTCTTGATCTAAAAAGGAAGATTTCCTTCGCGTTAACGAAAGGCTATCTGAATTTCAGCATCTGCGATTAAAGTTTTTGTTTTTTGTCTTAATGAGGCATGCAACGTGATTAATGAATTACTCACGGTGGGAATAAAATGGAAACTTTTATATGACAAAACATGTTTTTAAGGCATCTGTGGAAAAAAAAAATGTACTTGGCTTGAAAAACAACATGAATCTGTTCCAAAATCAGGCTGCTTTAATTATAGTTTAATCTAAGAATTCAAAGTTAAAAAAAATAAAATGCTTTTGTTCAAATGCAAATTTTTGCTTTCTGGGTTGTTCCAGAATCCACTCCAGACCATGTGGTTTAGATTGAGATGTCCCAACTGCAGAGAGAGCTGGGATTTGCTTCTTCACAATGATAGCATTTCACATTTTAATAAAGTGCAGCATAATTGATGTTAAATATAAACCTACTTCATGCTCTATTAGAAACCGGAGTCATTAGCTGAGCATGCTCTGGCAGGGCCAAGAGAGGGAGGGGGAGAGGGAGGGGGAGGAGGAGGAGGGGCGGCTTTTGAGCACTGCCCTCCCCTCCAAAGGCCCAGCCCAGGGGAAAAATCCTCTTCAGATCCCATTACAAACTGAGTTTAAACATGTTGCAGCTGCTGGAACCGGGGACGCGTTCCCTCTATGCAGGCTTAGCAAAATAGCAGAGAGGCTGCCAAATTCTTCCCGCGGTAACGTTGCAGTTACTGTTTATGTAGTAAAACAAGGCTGATGGAGGAGGGGGGGGGGGGGGGGAGGTAGAGGAACCGCCCTCTAGTTCCAGCACCAGCTTTTCCTGAAGAGGAAGCGAAGGAGGGCGGCTCGGTTGCTTGCAGAGCCATATTTATCTCTTCTCTGCCACATGTTAAATATTTGAAGAATCAGATTTAGTCAAAACACATTTTTTTTTGCAGCAAGATGTGTTAGCGCTGCAGAAAAGATTGTTTGACTTGGGTTGCTATGGGAACGTGCAGCCTCTTTGAAATCTGCATATTCGGCTGATAAATCAGCAGGACCCCCCGCCCCTGCCGCCCCCCCCCCCCCCCCCCGTTCAGGATGCCCCCTTCACAGACCCTTCCCCACCCCCGGCACTTTCCAATTTGGCCCCCAACACAGCCCCAGAAAGCCTGCAGCCTCCTTTGTGGCCTGGTCATCGCCAAGGATGGGCTGCAGCATTTCCTCCTCCCCACCACCCAGAGAAAGGCCAAGCGCCCCTTGCCTGGCCGGTGCCAGGTAGCTGGGAATTGGAGCGATGGGGAAAGCAGGAGGGTTGCCCTGCAGCACGCAGACTTTGCGAGGAAGCTCCGCTGAAAAGGAATATACCGGTACGAATATACCTGACTGATGTAACTGAAAACACCACGGAGCCCCTCCATGACAACTCTAACCTGATGAGGAGATTTCCAGGGCTAGAATTTCCACTGTTTCTCTCTCTCTCTCTCTCCTGCCTTTCTTTAATCTCTTTTTTTCTCTCTGTCGCAGCCCAGCACAGTTACCACTGGATGTGCGATCTTATCATGTCATTATTAGATGCTGTTACAATACAAGCATAATCCAGTGGATGGAAGACTCAAATCTCCAGCTGCTCTGTTAGTAAAACCACAACACCAGCATGTGGGTGCATGCACAGACAGACAGACGGAGGGAGTATCTCTGGAAGTCAACATTGCACCAGACAGGAAGAATGCAGCTCTCTGCTTGGCAAATGCAACAGCCCTCACATTAGCACCTTGATTAATTTCTGTGTGATTTCTGTCGCTCCGCTGAAGACTTGGCATCATCAACCTCTGTGCAAAATAAAAGGGCCCACTTCACAACCATAGCAGAAATAAGCCAGGAGGGGTTGGCATCCCCCCCCCCACCCAAATTGATTTTGGACCCAGGGAAGGCTGAAGAAGGTGGACCGAGGCTGGTGGGGCTTTTCCCTCAAGGCTCCTGGGCTGCTTGCCTTGGTGGTGTCTCCCTCCACAAGGCTCTCTCTCCAACCTGTTTTAGGAACAGCCCTGGATCCAAGAAGAGCCCTCTGCTGCCCTGCATGGCTCCATGGCCTCTCTCTTCCCACAGATTCTCACTCCCGTTTTGGCAAGGTAGGAATAAGGCAGTTGGGTTCTCGCCACAGAAGAATGGATCAGAGCAAGATTTCTCATTTTTGTGTTCTTTTTGGGTCGGGAAGTATTTGGGGTGATTTGAAATCATGTATTTTTTGGTTTCCAACTTTAAACTTGTTAGGAAATTTCCCTGGTTCAGCATTTTGGCGCTAAAATCTGCTAAAACTCGGCCCCAGCATAGATTTACCAGCATGGAGAACGGTTAGAAAGACCCCAATATTTACGCCCAGGTTCCATCTGGGTGCATGTGTTTTTACCCATAACAGCATTATAAAGTACAGTTCCTACATTTAAGTTAATAAAATGTATTATTTAAGGGATAATTGCCGTAACTAGAAAATGTAAACAGCCGCACATTAAAAAACAATTTTTCCATAGGTAGCAGGTTTTGGAACAGCACGGGGCAATTTTTTTCTCTTGCAATAATAAAAGAATAACATTTTCCAGTACACAGCAGAAACAGTAGGGAAGCCTTTGCTATCAACTGAGCTGCTGATTAAATTCAACGACTATGAAAAGCAAGATTATCCTTTGCAAAAAAATAATAACAATCACGGCAACTTCAAAAAAAAAAAATCCATACAAGCTGATTGAACAAACTGGAACTGCATTAATCCTTATTAATGCAGCGATAGATGACATTTAATTGCAACTATCCCCCCCCCCCTTTTAAGGAATAA